TATCCCTTCACAGTTCCTTGCAAAATTCTACAACATTTGTCTAGAGTTTGATATTATACATGTGACAAAGATGTTTTGTTGATTTTTTTTATCTAATTTCTTTGACAAAGTTATGACAAGTAGGACAAATTTAATGAGTTTTCTCGACAGGATCTTCGACTCATATTTGGCAGCCAATCATGACGGCCGGGTCCGAAATTACAGCCACCTCAAGTTACTGGTTGAATTGGAGGTTCTTTGTTTGTGCACTTTCATCTTGTCTACTTGGTCGTGGCCGCAATTTAATTTCGAAATTCGAAGGCGGTCGAAAATCGAATCCTCGGGGTCGAAATAATCGTAAGGTAGCTCCAGGTGTGGTATACGAGGAGGAAGCTTGGAATACATGTCTTAGAGCATTCATCCTGCTTGGCTGCTCGGTTTTCGAATGTTCGCTTTCATTACGCTGTTAACATTGCGTGATCAATGTCTTCATCGACGGAATGAGCATATTTCTTTTATACTCAGTGAGTGATAATATATATACAGCTTATATATCTGCAACTGCATTGATTCTTGTCTATCATTGTGGACTTAGCTGATGATTATTCTCTTATGTTCCTGAACAGGTGGACATTTACTTTGGTCACAACATACTTTATGGTATGTCTCTTGTACCATTTTTATCATCTCATATGTTCCTTTCGAACAACGGTACTCGTCGTTTTTCGATTGCTGATATTCTCTGTTTTGATTGTAGCTTGGATGTGTAATCTCCATATACGGATGTCAAAACACTGGGCACAAGCTTGTCGTGATAGCGTCGATGGTGAAAGTTTAGATACTGAGCAAGGCACCAATGAGTCCGGCCATTCGAAAGACAGCAAAATAGCTGGTGGATGGATTTATGCCTTCCAAATTATGTATCAAGTATGTTTCTTCTAATCAGTTCCAAAATGTTGTGTAAAATACCTGCACATTGTCTTGCCTGCCTTTTCACCTGGTTTTTAATTATTTGCTGTCTTTGAATAGGCTTCTGTGGGTGCGTCAATGCTCACTGATTAGTTTGGATCATTCTTTTTTCCGTATCTGAGGTCCATACCATACGGTGTGGATTTGGTAAGTAAGCCAACACCGCAAACTAGAATTTTATTCGGAACTTGTGTTGCTGTGCATATGATTGAAACAATTTTAACTGCAGATCTTATTGTCTGCATGCACTCTGTCAATGCTGTTTCCTACTCTGTGACCGTTTTGAATTGCTTTGTGAGTTTTGCTTCTGTTTAGTACTCATTACATCTCATTTCGAGCCTCTTTCGACGAAATCACGAAGCTAATTGTACCTTATTTTCCCTGCAGCGGTTCCCCTTTTTTCGAATTGCATATTTTTCTTATGGACCAGCATCTTCGTTATATTCCAGTGCTTGTGCATTCTTATTATAACCTTGGTATAGTTCCACGTCTGTTTTACGGATTTTACTGTTTCTATTTGGTTAAAGTCTTTACTCTCATACTGTGGCATCCGTCTCTTTGCAGGTGGCCATATCCGTTCCTCGACTTGACACCGTTTTATGCTCCGTTTTGGTACACGTTTTAATCTTCATTATGCTACACATACGCACGACATTCTCTGTGTATGTTGCTAACCGTATCCATTGCTATGTCGGACCGAACAGGTACCTTGCAGTCGGAACGATGCACTTACCGTGCTATTGCGCCTTTGCTTTACTTGTTAAATTCAAGGAATCGTCACTGTCAAGGTGTTTCCTGAGTCCTACCGGAAGTCACATAAAGGAGGAGATTTCCCGCATAGAAATTCCGGATTAACACCGACGGCTAGCAGGAAGAGTACAAGAACTCGGTGTCTTCATTTCGGTGTGTACTAATTATCATGAAAGTGTTAGAATCCCAGATAGTCAGTTTTTTATCAAACACCAGGATTCAATTTGTACAACATGTATCGAAAATAAAACACCCAGGGTTAGGATTCTTCGAATCTTTTGCTATGAAACCCGAGGTTCTTCGGTGTTATTCGCCGGAGAAATCGTGGGCGAGACATGTATGTTCTTGCCTCGGCTATGCCAATATGAAACAAAATCCTGAAGGCAATCAGAGTTTCATGAAACTAAATCAATGAAACATTCTATTCATGCAAATCTGCAATTTTGTCAGAAAATTAGATGCAAATCTGATAAGAAAATCTACAAGAACGCCTAAGATGAATCCAAAGATTACCATGAAAATTTTCATAATCATTTCCAGCTGTATTATTTCAATCAAATCCAAGGAAATTTCTCCTGGCCATTACGAGACAAGGCACCTTAACTCTATCAGCTGAGCTGCAATTGAAAATTTATTTATTTTTCACCACAATTTACAGGCTGGGAAGAATAAGAGATGTCTGAAAATGAGAATGGGGAAATTGGACATGTATTTGTCATCCTCTTCATTTGGTTTCAATTCTCAAACTCCCAGTATTGCACAGCCTGTAGACTTATGTCCAGAATTTATTGTCTGAATTGCATCAAATATGTAAAACTTAATTTTACTTGTTTTCCCACATCGGGAAAGTACACATTGCCATTTATGGTTCTATTAAATCACCGCTTTTGGCCTTTTGTTTCCTTTTCTGAAGCAAAGTATGATAAACGCTAATGTTTATTGTTCTATTTATTACTATATTATTTCATACTCCAAAGAAGAAGAAAAAATGTATATATTTTAAATGAACAATAAATTCAAGGGTAAAATATTTAATGGTCATTGAACTTTTCTAAAGCTTTCATTTAGGTCCCTCAACTTTTAAAACTTGCAATATAGTCCTCTAACATTTAGTCCGTTGTAATATGGTCCCGACATGACCGGTCGTTTGACGCCGTTACACTGTCGTTAGTACGTTTGCAATATGATCATTGAACTTTTCAGGCGCTTGCATTTAGGTCCCCCAACTTTTAAAACTTACAACACAATCATCAATTTCATTTTAAACCCCAAATTCTTTTTCGATCTCAAATTTCCTTTTTTGCTTCTCTCTTCTCATTTCTAGCGTAACTTTTCAGTCGGGATACATGGGAAATTCTAATCTAACTTTGAATTATATGGAGGTGTAACTTGAATAAGGGTCCATTGAGAGAAGACTCGACCAAGAGACTATCGGACCATCAAAGATTCAAGGTGTAATGTTAGATACAGGTCATATCGCAAAGGTACTAACGGCAGTGTAACGGCGTCAAACGGTCGGTTACATCGGGGACCATATGCAAATAGACTAAATGTTGGAGGACTGTATTGTAAGTTTTAAAAGTTGGGGGACCTAAATGAAAGCTTTAGAAAAGTTCAATGACCATTACTATACTTTACCCTAAATTAATAATGAAAATGTAAAATAACTTTATATAAGTAAATTTTTATCATGTTTATTGAAGAAAATAAAGTATCAGTTTTTTCATTTGATAAAAGAGATTATCAGTGTTAAATAGAATATAAAAAAATTATAATAACAAAGAGGCTAAATTTTGGTGTAGTTATGGGTGTATGAATAACAAAATATCAAATTACAATGACTTAATTAAGACCTTGAAAATAAAACTAAAATGAATTAAAATAAATCCTAAACAAAATAAAAATAAATAAATGACATTTTAGTCTCCAAAATTATATCTTGTTTTTAATTTGGTGTTTGGAGAGTTTTCTATTTAATTTGATCTTGAATTTTCAATTACGATGCATATTATCAAATATGTATTTTTAAAAATTTATAATTTTTTAAATTTAATATAATTATACATAAGGTGATACGTTTTTATATTGTTTTATGAATTTTTTGTATGAGATATAAAAATACATTCTTTTTAGAGTTGAACACATATAATAACATAAATTGTTTGTACGAGATTGATATAAATAAAATGTAGGATGAACACTATTAGTAAAATGGACAACAACATGAAGAAATTCGAATTTCATAATAGACACGTACCTATCCTAGACAATACTTGCATCAGTCACCGATCGAAAAGTTAAAAAAATTAAAGTAAATTAAAAATATAATTAATCTTAAAAACGTATAAAGGATATCAAAAGATTCTTAAATGGGGAAAAAATCTATTGGATTTGAATATTTTCCAGGAAAAAGAAAGGAAAATACAAGCAACCAACTACCTGCCATCTTCATTAACTAGCAAGTCCCTCCTCACAAGGTAAATTCTAATGTGCTTTGCTTTGCTTTACTTTTGCTTTGTCTCTCTTACTGTACGATACAAAGAAGAAGCAAAGCATATTCCCATATATGAACGTGTACTTACTTGTCCGATAAATTCATTCCTCACCATTCTTATTCGTAAATTGTAAGCGACTTAATACCCCATCTTTCTTTTTCATTGATATCGACCTTCTTTCTCCCATTTTTAATCTCATCAAAGCTTTATGGCAGTAACCCCTCTAAAGTAAGGAATCTCTTCTCTGTTTCCTTTATTTTCTTTCATTTTTCATGTTGTTTTTAGTTTTAGTATTCCTTCCTCTGCCTCTGCCTACAGTTTTCCTTTCACATTTTCCTGAATTTTCTTTGCTTTTTCGTTCTTGAAGATATTGTTATTTGATTTTTTAGGATTACCCTTTTTTGAGCTTTCATGTTGTGTTTAGTTAAGTTGATTTTCATTTGTTCATAAAGAAACTATGATAACCAATGGAGCGAGTAAGATTAATCTCTTGAGTTTCTTATCAGGATCATCGACACATACTTGGCAGCCGGTCATGGCGGCCGATACGGCCACCGTGAGTTACTGGTTGAATTGGAGGTTCACACTTTGTGCATTGTTCATCTTCACCACTATGGTTGTGTCAGCTGTTATAATCTGGAAATTTGAAGGTAGGAAAAGATCAGAAGATGGAGATAATAATAAAGAAGCTCCTGGGATTTTATGAAGATGAAGCTTGGAATACATGTCTCAGAAGCATTAACCCTGCTTGGCTACTTTGTTTTAGACTGTTTGCTTTCTTCATGCTCTTGGCCTTGCTTCTAGCCAATGTCGCCGTCGATGGAACCGGCATATTTTACTTTTATACTCGTGAGTAATGAATCTCTACACCTTATCATGAGCTTTCTCGTTGATCATTGTTGTTGCCGATCTTTTTCAGTATAACAGATGTGTTTTTGTTCCTGAACAGGTGGACATTTACTTTGGTCACAATATACTTTGGGGTATGTCTCTTGTTCCGTTTTCATCATCTCTATTGATCGTTTCGAAGTATGATGCTCCCTCGATTTCAAGTTGCAAGAATGTCCTTTAATAACTTGTTGATGTATGCGCTACAATTGTAGTTTGGATCTGCAATTTCCATTTATGGATGTCAAAGCACTTAGGAAATGTCGGTGGTGATAGGACTGATCATATAAGTTCAGATTTTGAAGGCACCTACACGCCTCCCATTGTTGGAGAAACCGCAATTGCGTCCAACCGGTCCAAACATTTTGATACGTACCGATCACCTTATTATCCTCCCAGAGCAGGTGCATGGACTTATGCCTTTCAAATCATGTATCAGGTATGTCCTCCTAGAATTGCTTCTGTAGTAATTATTATATAGTTTAGATACATAGATGAAGTCATTGTGATTGGCCTAATGAATATGATGCCCTGGTCAAGCAGAGTTTTTGAAATTCTGGGTGGATTGACTGTATGATTATTGTTTTACCTTGAATAATGCTCTTCTGTGACTTTCTCCTGATTTTCGTCATTTCGGTGTCAACCGATAGACTTCTGCAGGTGCTGTAATACTCACTGATTCGGTGTTTTGGCTCATTCTTTTTCCGCTCCTGACGGCCAAAGATTACAGTCTGAATTTCGTAAGTACGAGACTGCGAACTCTAGTTTCCCTGAGATTTTCTTCCTTTTTTGTATGACATCCTTGTATCTGGGATTTATGTACACATGTCAACTGCAGCTGCTCGTCTGTATGCACTCGGTCAATGTCGTTTTTCTTGTTGGTGACACAATATTGAATTGCATGGTAAAGTTTCCTTTTGCTGATCATCTACGTAGCATCTCATTTACAGTATCTTCTGATCATTTACAAAGCTGATTTCAGCGTTTACTTGCAGCCGTTCCCGTTCTTCCGAATCGGATACTTTGTTTTATGGACAGGCACATTCGTCGTCTTCCAATGGATCATCCATGCTTGTATTAACCTCTGGTAATCTCATATTACCATCTCACCGTTTAGCTCTCTTTTGTGAAAGGCTCTGTTCTCACATTGTGGCACCATCTCTTGCAGGTGGCCATATCCATTCCTTGACTTATCGTCGTCATATGCTCCTTTATGGTACGCATTCGATCATCTTGGTACTGCATTTAACTCGTTCGTACGTCCCGCTAACGTGCTACCATATCCGTTGCTATGTACGATTGAAACAGGTATATGGGAGTAGGACTGATGCACATCCCATGCTATGGCATCTTTGCTTTGATGATTAAACTCAAGGATTTTGCTATGTGGTGGACATCCCCCGAATCGTTTCGGAAAAGGACGTGAAAAGAGGGATCGGTGGTCGAAACCCGGGGACGCCGTCCATTATCACGAAGCCGGTAACAATTTATACCGACATAATCGAGTTTGTATAGAAACCATTGTCGACATGGTAAATACACAAGATACATATCCTTAAACCCTGGCTCATTGTCCGCTCTCAGACTCACATATGTTAAGAGTAAATAGAAGGCTGAGATTTGTGAGCCGTTGGGTTCTTGTTAGGAATCTGTTGGTGGTTAGTTACAATTTGTTGGTGGGTTGTTATTGGTTTTGTTGGTTAGTTATCAGTATTTGGGATATGAAACACTGTACTGGGCCTGGTGCCAAACAACTATTGAATCCAATTTGTTTGTTAATGAGATTTTCATCAGGTGGCACATTTCTTTATTCTCTTGCTATTCCGTTCATCTTCCGTGATTTCAGTTCTCCGGCCACCGTAGTTTTAACGTGGTATCAAATGTTTTGTTTCCAATCCGCATCCTCGCTTCGGTTGTTCTCCTCAGTCTGATCTAGATTTGCAAAGGCCACATTCGATCACAAAAATCGATTATCAAAATAATTCAAAAATTTTAAAATAATATAAACAAAGATATCTCAATTTAAAACAATTTCTATAAAAAAAACTATAGCTTATTTATTTTTTTAAATCAAATATACGAATAAACATTTATAAAGTTGAATCGGATAAATTTTAAATTTTATACGGTCGCTTAAGTAATCATTTATTGTATTTGAATAGTTTCACTATCACTCTTACAACGATGTTGTCCGTCACAAACATCAAAACTTATAATTTGTATACAAATTATATAAACGTTAAGTTTCAGTGGCGGTTCTAAAAATTTTAATGATTCCTAAAATATTCATCATTTATAAACATATTTTCTTTTCTTATTTTTCACATAACCATTTCATATACGTATACATTTTAATATTTTTATCATTTAAATATATTTTTAAATTTTTAGTTTTAAATAAAAGATAAACTAATTGATATCAATATTAACAAAATAATAAACTAAATGATATTAATTTAATAAAAAATTATATTTTATCATTTAGTTCAATTTAGCAAACATTTAAAGTTTAAAAAACTAAAATATTTTTTTTACAATTTCAAAAGCCATAATACTATTAGACCACAAAATTTCAAATAGGATGATTATATGTCTAGTTGTGTGTGGTTGTATGATTCAAAGGCCCAATCTTGTGTTCGTGTTGACAAGAATATGACTTGGGAACTGCCTCCTGATGGTGTTTACAAGCTGAATACGGATGGTGCTCTGGGTTCACTTCCTGTGGCAGGATTATAAGAGATTCAGCCGGTTCATGGTTGGGGGGTTCTCGACGCGGAAACTCTGGGTCTTTACGAGGGGCTGCGTCTAGCTTGGGATAAAGGTTTGCGGAGGATTTTAGTGGAATCGGACAGCAAAGATACGATACTTTGCTTATCAAGAGAGAAGCTTCAAGGGGTGTTTCGTCGTTAATCCCGCGCGTCCATGAATTTCTGCAACGCGATTGGTCTATTTCGCTTCGTCATGTCCCCAGGGAGTGCAACAGAGTAGTGGATACCTTGGCTCACCTGGCGTGGACTCTTCCACATGAGTATGTTGTATTCCACGGTCCTCCAGAGGAGTGCAACGCTGCCTTCCATGATGATACTTTAACTGCTGCCATGTAGTATTTTTGTCTTCTCTTTTTATTCAAAAAAAAAAAAAAACTTCAAAAATCAAACAGCATAACTTATTCAGTAATGTCAATGATAAAATAAATATTATTTTTTTATAAATTTTGGATTGGCGTAATTATTTTTACAGAATGTCCACCTAGGTATCAACCTAGGGCAGGGCCGGATATGGGTAGTCCTCCCCTAGAAATTTTAAATTTCTATATATTTTAGATTTTTTTTGTGTTTTTATTGAAAAATATTTTACCTTCCCCAAATTTCATTTAAAATTTTATAAGTTATTCATCTTTAATATAAATTTTGCATCTATCTTGTGTACACATGTTAATGATTAAGAAAGATTATAAACAAATATTACTTTATATTACATTAGACGGTTAAAAAATGCATATCTAAAAAGTTAAACTAAATCTTATCATTTTTTTCTTTGTATTACATGTTATTTATAAATTCTTTTTTATTTTTATAAAAAAATTACTGAACACCATAAAAAAAAAGGAAGAATCGAGATGGATTGATATCGACAATTCTAAAAATTTTACATTTTCATATAATTACATATTCTCTAATGATGAGAAATATAATTTCATCTTTAACAAAATTTTACTCAATATTATTACAAAAAAATTATAATAATTTTAAAATTTCTAACCATCCTACCACTTACCCTTGCGGCTTTGAAATCGAATTGTTTTTTTTTCTATCATTTTTAAATAAGAAAAAAGATAAAGGTAGGAAAGAAGGATGGCAATAGGTAGGGCAAACATCTTATGAAATTGACAATGGAGTACATTACACTTTTCTTTTTCCTATTTCTTTTATTCATCAACGTCAAATGAACCCTAATCTTCATGAGTCATGGGGTTTGGTGTTCGGTTCGGGCCCATGCCACTTTATGTCTTCTTCTTTTCTCTTCAATCACATCTCTGGTTTGCTTTAAATGAGCAAAATAACTACGGGTAAAATACATTACAGATCATTCATTATTAATAAAATTTTTAATGAGTCGTTTACTTTTAAAAAACTTATAAACTAGTCATTTAACTAATCGATTATTACATGCAATCCATTGAGATGTTAAATATTAGACGGCTTTCTGATGTGTACAACTCTATTGAGATATGGAATTATTTAATTTCTCCAAAATGAACCAATTTTCAAATTTACCTTTTGATTTTTGTTTGTTTCCTTATCAAATCAATTGAAAGAAATGAAAATATAAACGAAGGCCACATGTAACATATTTATTAGAGAGAGAAAATTAATGAATAATCTGAAAATAATTATAGAACAAAACGTTAAATATTTATCTTAAGAAATAAAAGTTAGGTACTTAAAGTGAAATATGATATAATTATAGCACTTACTTTATAATAAAGTCTTATAAATACAATAAGTAGTTGGGTTTGGCGTCTCGAGAATAGTAAGTGGGAATCCCTTTCTCTTCCTAATTTACTAAAACCAAATTATAATAAAAAAGAAAAACCAAAAATCATTTATTAGACAAATAATTTCAAACAATATTAATTGAAAAAATATCAAACTGCACTTAGGACTATCCCATCTTACAACACTCGTGTAAAGATCTCACATTATATAGGACATGAATCTCCTCCAACGTGAAAACATTTTTCGGAGAATATAATTAATATTAGATTTAACACCTTGCGATATATAAAGCGATGCCAATGAAAAACTAAATTGTTGCACCAATTATCGTATTCTACAAAAAAAACTATCACGGGTAGTTTTACAAACCTCGCGTTATACAGAAGACGAGATATTTTTCCACTCGTATTGCAAGTGTTATATGCGTGCTTGAGGGGTATTTTCGAGTAGTTAATTTAAAAAATTTCGTAATTCATAAGATTAGAGGCGTATTTTGAATTTATCTTTCAGTTGAGATCTATATCAACACATAAAAGATATTGTAAGCGAGTTAAAAATCACATTGAAAAAGGTTCCAAAGCTTGTTTTGTGCATGAAGAAAAAAACTAAAATGATTTTATAGGCATTTCGAGGGGTTTTTTTCAGATAGCTAATACGAAAATTTTCGTAATTTATAAGATTATGAACATTGTATTGTAACTTATCTTTCAATTCGAGATAATATCTACACATATGAGACATTGTAAGTATGGTCAAAATGTAACACCCTAATCCAGTTAGACACGATATTCATGGATTAATGTTATACAGGACTACTGAAATGGTGACCAAAATTTCTTTTAAAATTGCTTGTAAATATCTAAAATTTAGACATTCATAATGTATTATAAAAACATGATATAAATTGGGTTTACAAATAATGAGGAGCTCCCAAAATACATCGGTAAAATAATACAGAATACTGAGTTTCAAAAGGGTTACGACTGATTACATAACAAGGTCCATAACAGTATATGTCCTCTAAAGATGACTTAAGTCATCTCCGAAAATTTACTCTGCTGCACTGGAATATCTGATAAAGAGCTCCCCACAATCTGTCCTTAAGAACCTGTGCACAGAAACACATTTCGAACGTTAAGCTTACGAGCTTGGTGTCTCACTAAAATTTGTACTATACTATATGTCTTCACTAAATGAAATGGAAAGTGGCACAGGTCTGAGTATACAACTACTAAATTGTTAATATGTTGATGGCATCATGGTGCGGCTGAGGAATTCTGTATCTCAGAGTTCACGTACCCCTCTAGTACTGTCGAAGCACCATCGGGTACTCTTGGGTGAGATCTGAAATTCTGCATCAGAACTGACACCCACCGACTTACTCTGTCGAGTCTTAGGGCATCTGCACCCAGTCGGTTGTTGTAGTGTTGTGGCACTAACTTGGATCCACTGACTATCATATTTTTGCTAAAAGGAAACTAGGGTGTCCTGATTATTTTTCGAGCGTCAACCAAGGCTAATTTTATGTAACCCTAGCTATTTATGTTTCTATTGTTCTTATATTAAATATTTTTCTCGCTTGAAGTCTTATTTGATGATATATTAAAGTTTTGGGGTACATCGAGTCTAATTCCCTTTAAAACTAGCATTTTTGTCTAAAACAAAATGAAAGTATCAATATTATCCCAAGATTATCGATACTCCTGCAAAAGTTCCGATACTTTATATAAGTACTGATACTTTTAAACATTCTGTTCTGGCTAGTTACGAAATTTTCTGGGAGTTTCAAAACTATGACTCAAAGTATCTATACTCTTGAAAGAGTATCGATACTCTTTCCCAGAAACTCACGAGTTTGCCTAATAAGAAGAACAAGTTTCAATATTTTCCCTCTAGTATCGAAACTCAACATGCAGATAGTATAAAATAAGTGCAAAAACTCTTATTCTAATATCCCAAAGACCTTAGTGAGGTTTTCAAACATTA